AGAAAACATCACAGCCTTGGAGAGGGAGCTCAGAGAAGGGAGGCTAAGGAAGGTGTGATAAATCTTCATCTTGGGGATGTTCACATGGAAGGTCCTCATGTCATTCAAATTGCCAATAGTAAGAGGTACTTGCCAATCAGTGATCCAGCTGCTGATGGCTTCAGGACAGCTTCACATCTTGCCACTTTCTTCCTGGAGTTGTTTTGACGGAGAGAATGCAATATGAAAGGAAAATTCATCCTTAAAATTGACGGCAAGCCCACACATCATGCATCCCATAGTTACAACGTGGACCCTCCTGTGAGCACCTTCAGTGAGAGTGCAGGACGCCGTCCACCTGTGAAGCTCTGGTTGTTCTCTTCCCTCCCATTCTGAGGAGTGCACAGCTGATCAAAGTTGCTTTAGGATGTTGCTTCATGTGATAGATTTTATAACAACCCAAAGGGGCAGATTATTTTGCAAATAGTCCATAAAGCCAAGAACTATCACTTTAAAAGTAAGGGTTTATGAAGCTCTGACAGGTGGGAGGGAAAATGCCATCCAAACTCTTTATGATATCAAATAAAATTAACTAGAGGAGATGATTTGTTAAACAGTGAATATTGTATCACCACTTACAGTTTAACATTCTGCCTGTGAGTTAGAATAATGCCCAGGCATTCAAGAGCACATTTCTATAAATATATATGTGCTAATGTAATACATGCTTGTGACTTTTATTCATGTCATAATAGCATTTATTTTTACCAAGATCATTGCAAAAATATTTAGAAAATATTTAATATTTTTCAAAAGAATGGACCTATCCCATTACATGAATATACCTATCTTATTTATTACCTCTGCTCTTCAGTTTGACTATTGTTAGACAATTGTCCTCTCTGCTTTTATCTTTTATAAAATTATATAAAAATTACTTTTATAAATATTCTTGAGCTTGTCTGGTTTTTTTTAGTAAATTTTGAATTTTCTCTATGCATGCCTATTTAACTGAATTTACCCATTTGAATGTAAACCTTGGAAAACAATAGATTAACCATTTTTACAATGTAAAGTGGTTAAGTTGAATTGATGCACATGAATTAGAAATAGATCATTTCTTAACATAGAAACAGCCTCTGGTACAGCTAATGTCATTACCCAGTTTAATACATTGGAGACCACATGATCCTATTACTACTACTACTACTACTATTACTACTACTACTACTACTACTACTACTACTACTACTACTACTGAATATTGAGCCCAGGAGTGTTCTCCCACCTACCACCTAAGCTACATCCCCAGTCCCTTTTATTTTGTATTTTTGAGACAGGGTCTCTAAGTTGCTGAGGCTGGCCTTGAACTTGAGATTCTCCTGCCTCAGCTTCCCAAGTTGCTGGGATTACAGGTGTGCACTCCAGTGCCCAACTCCAGATTCTTCTCAAACATTGTGCATTGCAAGCTTTAAGAGGATTTTATTCCATTCCATTCATTGATTGAATTAATTCCTTGATTCCAATAAAAAGAATCTTCATTGCCTGTTCTTTGAAATTGTACAAGTGATTGATAACATAAAATCAAAGACAGATGAATGAAAACCACCTATGTTCTGCAATCATTCTGAATTAAGTTTGACACTTTGAGGTTTTATTTGAATTATAGTTCTTGAGTAATGCACAGATGTTAAATAATCCATGATAAAAAGCTAGAAAATAAATGTACCTTTGGTCACACTGATAAAATAAAGAAATAAATTCCAAGTTACAGATCAATCTAGAACCCATAGAGCTATGGCATTTACTTTTTTGGGGGGAGGTACTAGAGATTGAACCATTAAGCCACATCCCCACCCTTTTTGTGTGTGTGTGTTTTATTTAGAGACAGGGTCTCACTGAGTTGCTTCAGGCCTTGCTGAGTTGCTGAGGCTGGATTTGAACTCATCATCCTCCTGCCTCAGCCTCTCAGGCTGCTGGAATTATAGGCATGCACCTGGCAATACCTAATATTTAAATGATGGAAAGAATAAAGAAATTAGATTTCATAAGCTTGAAAAGAATAATGCTGTGCAATCAACACAAACAAGTTTTTTTTAAAAATAGGGCAAATAATAAAAAATTTCAAAAGCTAAAATCTCGTGAAACACGACCAGAATTATTAATTTGATTTATGATTTGTTTGGCATTATGCTGTTAAGAAATGAGGCACCCATTTCATATTCACAAGTTAAAATATTTACTGAATCAGAATTAGATCATCTAAGACCCATGACTTATTATATAGGCCAAAGCAAAGATTTTTTTCATATGTTTAAAATGTTGTTAAGGAAAAGAAAAAGCAAGGAGAATATTTGATAGAGATCATATTGTGCTCCTCAGAACCTTAAGCATTACTACCTGGCCTCCTACAGAAAACATTTGCAGACTCTTGTTTTAGATAAATGCCTTGTAATTTGATTCTGCAACAAGTCCCTTTGTAATGCTTTCCTTTCTTTAATAGTAGTGTGCACTTTTATCCCTTCTCGTAATCTGGCAACATGTGAATCTAAGTTCCATTATCAAGTTATGTTATTAGTTATCAGATCACTAATTTTCTACATGTTTGAATTTATGTGTGGGTAATATTGCCTAATTCAAATCAAAGTTGTGGTCTTGCTCATACTTATTAATGTAAGTATTTCTCTTCCACAAAGCCCACACGGTCAAGGTAAATTATATCATAAGCATCACCATTTGTACATTAGTTGATGGGTGTGATGAGACTTTTAACATTTAACTTATTATACTGGAAATGATCAAGTGTCTGTTTAATTTCTGTTCGCTCATGGAACAGCCTATACTGTTCTTTTATTTATCATGATGTGCCCTAGAAGTGAGGTGTCTCCTTTTTCTTTTTGTACTAAGTTGTTAACACTAGAATGTAGTCTTTGGTTATATATGTGACTAAAGCACTAAATACTGTTAGTAGAAAAGCCAATCTAAATATTTCTGTTCAGTCAACATAAAACTAGTTTTAAAATATTCTCAAATGCACACACATTCTATCACAAAAAAACACCTCCAGGGCAGATATTAAACATGTTTAGATACATAGGAGCATTCAACTAAATTTTTAAGTAGCATTTTCCACACTTCACAAATACAGAGGCTCTTACATGAAATACGGGCTATGACTTGACTCATTTTAATTCACCTTCATTTTAATTTCTCTTACTAATGCTACATGATGCCAAAATTTATTATTTCTTCTTCGATGGAATTTTAAAAGTCAAAATCTCTTCTTTTTGATGTGCAATAATTCCTTGTCATGAATTTTAAATCTTAATCCCCCCCCCGACTTTTTAAACTTCTGAATTCCGGGTATTATCCCACATTTGATCAACTCTGACTTGTGTCCTTCTCACCTATCTAGTGAGTGATGTCATGTGTCACCTCCTATCAAAATTCATTCTTCAAGAATCCATAAACAGGGAAGCTGCAGTCCTCAGAATAAATGCTGTGGACTAGCTTGGTGACGTCGTGGATTTCCTCCTGTCTTTGTCTCCGTGTGCAGGCTGTCCCGACAACAGCTCAGGCTCTGGATGTGCAAGTCCTCTGGGAGGGTTTCAGGGGTGCCTGAGGCTCATCTCCATTGGTGGCACCGTGGTGGATCCCATCTCGGTCCAGCAGGGGGCGCTGGGGAGTTTCAGCGATCTTCAGATAGACGCCTGCAGCATCACCGACAGGTAGGGGCCTCCCGGGTCATCTCGGCAGGTGCCTCCAAAGCTAAAAGGAAAAAAAGGCAGGCGCATGGGGAAAAAGTGAATTTCATTCTCTTATCTTATTCTCTCTTTTTATCTACTATCCTCTGCAGGGAATAAAATAGTCATACTACAGTGAGGATTCAAAACCTTCATTTTTAGTTGTATAAACTGTTTTTCGAATGACAGCATTTTATAAAAGGGCGTATGTATACCTTAGGAATTTTAATTAAAAATGGCCCCATGTTACTGGGCTCTTAGTCATCAACCCAGTGCTGGCCACCATGCCACTTGTGGGTGGCCATGCTGAGGGGCAGTGTGTCTGGACAAGTCACTGTTGTTTTCATTTGTGGTGTCAGCTATCGAATACCAAATCTTTTCCATGGAGCAGACATGAAGTAATCTCTGGAACTTCACCACAGAGGTTGGTGAAGAGAGTTGTGTCATGACAAACTCAGTGAAAGATGGAGACTATAAGAAAAATGTTTTAATTTTTAACAAGCATTCATACAGTTCATACTGCTAGTTATTATGCCTTATCTCTATTACTCTTTTGGCTGAAAAGTTATAATCACTTAGAAGAATGTTATTTCTCTGTATGAAATGCCTTATTGCCTTCCCCTTGGCATGTGCCATCAATAAATCAATGCAGATTATGACACGTAACTATAAGTATGGAAACATCACATGGTACCCCCACAAACCTATACAGCTTTAATGTCAATTAAAATAAAATAAAGCCAAGAATTAATGCTATAGATTAAAAATAAAAAGTTAATACAAATTTTAGAATGTCCAAACTTACTGCCTTCTACTTCATCAGTAGTTCGTTAGTCATTCTGCTTTAAACATGAGCCATAAAACTGTCTTCTCCCCCTAAACTTGTTTCAGTTTACAAAGCATAGTGATATTTTAAAAGAACATAATTTCTATGGATTGAAATTTTTCACTACTAAGAACTTGATTTAACCAAGAATAATTTCCCCCTTGAAACTTCTGTTGATTTGTAGGAAAACAGCGAGTCAAAGAGGAAGAGTGTATCACAAAACAATTGTCCCAATAACTCCTACTTTTGCCTGTGGGGTTGGAATTCTTGGCAGAGACTTAGGACTGCGTGGACGGGACCAGGCTGTGTCATGGGGATGGTGGTTGGGAGCCGGTCACCTGTGTCTGGAGATATGCCATGGAGCTGGTCACCTGCTCTTTGGGTGCCAGCTCACCAGGCAAGGTGCAGGACCCTCAGCCAACAGAGGCTCATGGGGAGGTATCCCAGGGCTCTCACTGTGAGGACTGAGGTCAGCTCAGCTGTGATGCAGCTGTGTGGTTTTCTCCTTTTGTAAGTCATTGCTATCTTGTCAAGGACCCCAGATGTGATCTGTTCACATCTTATCTGTGGGGAAGTGCTGTGGTTTGGATGTGTTAATGGCTTCAGAAAGTGGGGCCTAGAGGGAGGAAGTTAGGTCACTGGGCGCATGCCCTGGAAGGGGAAGTTGGGACCCGCCCCTTCCTCTTTTTGCTTCCTGGCTGCCATGAGGTGAGCAGCTTCCTCTGTCATGTGTTCCGCCATAATATGCTGCCTCAGCCACTGTGCGCTATAACCACTTCAGAGAAGGGTTTGTGGCTGTTATCCTTGTTGTTTTGGTAACAGAGATTGAACTCAGGGGCACTTGACCACTGAGCCACATCCCCAGCCCTATTTTGTATTTTATTTAGAGACGGGGTCTCACTGAGTTGTTTAGGGCCTCACTTTTTGCTGAGGCTGGCTTTGAACTCACGATCCTCCTGTCTCAGCCTCCTGAGCCACTGGGATTACAGGTGTCTACCACCATGCTGGCTCAGAGAAGGGTTTTAAGGAACACTTTTCAAATGAGATTACAAATTGGGTTATCCACTATTTCATTCTTGGGTCAGTGTATAGAGTCTAGCCCTTCAACATGTTTTTATTTATTTTTTATTATTATTAGTTGTTCAAAACATTACAAAGCTCTTGACATATCATATTTCATACATTTGATTCAAGCAGATGTTTTTAAAAACAACTACGTATCATAAGCAGTAAAAATGGGAAACCTGGTGCTACCATGTGATACTCTAAAGAGTAAAAGACCTTTGCTATTTCCCTTCTCATTCAGTTTGGAAATCCTGAAAACTCACTTCTAAATATCTTGGGAACACAGGTCTATGAACCTCTCTCACCCTTTGGGGGAATTAAAAATTATTTTAATTCACAAAATAGAAATTTGTTCTTCAAACACCAAAGCTAAAAAGCCTACTAAAGATATGGGATATGAAGTCACCTTCTTTTACCAAAATTTTAGGCTAAGCAAAAAACAGCCACGTGTACTCAGGATGACATGCTGCAGAGCACGGCCTCTTCCTTCAGACTCTCATGACCTTAGCCTTCCATGCCCTGCGTCATGGTCCAGGCCACCTGGAGCTCTCTGAACAGGAAGGCCTGCTACCTCCCCTCTAGAACTGCCAGGTGGCACAGCCTCCCCACCTCTGCTCGCTTTCTCCAGCATTGGTCTCCTTTACTCTGGATGGCTTCTCTGAACTACATGTAAAATTGTCATTCTTGACATGTTTACTTGAAAAAAAAATTACGATGAGCCTGTTCATATGTTTCTGATCACTTAATAGTTCTTCTAAGATATCTTAAGTAAGACTACGTTATCAGCAGTGGTTTGCAATCTTCTTATGATTTGTGCAATCTTCACGTCAGGTTGATCTTAAAATGATCCACATGTTAAGGAGGAGGGGAAGAGGGCCGTGGGCAAGGAGAAGGGGAAGGGGAGGAGGACACCTGCCAATGGGCCTCCTCCACCCCGGCCTCCCACCTTCTTACCTGTCGATCTGACACCTACTCATGGCTCTGGGTCCCTGTCATACTTTGACCCTTGAAATATTTGAAAATTGTAACTCTGATTTCCCATAATTATTCTCCTCTTAGACTAAACTCTCCTTAACTTGAGGTGATTAGTCAAAATCTTGACCTTAAACTTGTGGTACTTTGCTGGGGTGCCAGCACGCGGGGGTGCTGGGGGCACAGGCAGGTAATTCCGTGATCTCTTCTGCCACAACCCTTTCAGTGTCCTCGAAGGATCCCTTCGAAGCCCCTGGAGACTCCTGCCAGTGTCCACATGGTAGCTTCCTGCCTGGCCTTGGTCCTCCAGCCACAAGCAGGTCTCACTTCCCTCCTCCCCTCCCCTCTCCGGCTCCTGCTCTGGGCCCCTGCAGGCAGGGCCAGGTCCTAGCTCCCCTGCACCTGCCTTTCCAGTACACACTGCTTTCTCCCTCGCAGCCTTGGCCTCCAAGTTCTGGGCCTACAGTGCAGCATTCTCAGCCAGGGGACAAGGTGGGCAGGGGCAGATCCCAACCCAGCCTCTGGGAGGCCACCATTTGTCCCTGGAATCTCCACGCTATGCTTAGAAACTTGCCCGTTCACCCAGCACCCTTCTCCAAGTTCTTCTAGGAACCTGGAGGCCAGTAGGCTGGAACAGCCTCACAGCTTTACAGTGGGATGCGACAGAATCCAGCAAGCTCTGAAAGTGCGAGAACTCCACCCTGCTCTCTATCACGATTGTGTTGGCTATTCAGGGTCCCCAGAGACTCCCCATGTACTTTAGGATAAATCTTTCTATCTCTAAAAATAAGAATTTAAAGCCATGGACAATTTTATAGATATTGCACTGAATCTACGATAGATCTTAACATTGTTAAATCTACCATTAACTGATCACCCATTCTAAATCTAAAGGGCCACACGTGGACCTGAGTTAAATGTTCTTCACGATTCCTGGAGCTGTGTTGCATTAGGATGGAAGGTGCCCCTGTCTCTCTTTCTCCTCCTTCTCTGTCTCCTCTTCTTTGAAAAACGTCCAAGATGTAGTATAGTGCGTGGCAAATTTTATATCTGTAATTGATTTTCCCAGCCACACATTAAGTTAGTATTTTGTCACAACAGAAAAAAAAAATATGATGTGTTGAAAGTTGTCAAAGATACATAATGATCAGTTATAGGCCAGTAAATGTATTTAAATAAATGTATCACGATGACCAGAAAATCTTGATGACAAATCACTAGTAACACGGCATTTTCTTGGGTATGTTGTACTTTTGCATTAATCTATTTTTAGTAAAGAGGATTTTTATTTTATGCAGACTGACCAAGGAGAATACAGCCGTATCTGTTTCCTTACAGATGCCTGCCCAGCTTCTGTGAACATGGGGGTGCATGTGCCCAGTCCTGGGACACCTTCTCCTGCAACTGCGAGGGCACAGGTTACACTGGAGAGACCTGCCATTCCCGTAAGCCTTCCACCTCATTGTCCCCATTTCTGTGTCTTTGTCACTTCCTTTCCTTTTCATTCATTGTTTATGTGTGCCTGCATCTTTGCGATCACATATTCAAATGAGTCTTTATTAATTAATTATTAATATTATCAATTAATAAGTATTTAATAATAGTTAATTTCTAGCTTATATTTAAACCACCTCACTTTATTTTATCATTAATTAGTTATCCCCCACCATGTTGGGGATCAAACCCAGAGCCTCATGCATGCTGGCAAGCACTCTACCACGGAGCCTGGCCCCCAACCCCAAGCTCATTTAATACAAGGGTGTTGAGACAGTGTACAGAAATATGGAGTACTACGTCGGTTACACAAAAGAAGCTGGTACATATGATGAATTCGGTATGGTAGAATAAAAGTAAAGAGTAAAATTAAGCTAGATTAAACCAGGAATGCATGATGTCACAACTCATTCCTTGAGTTGGGCTGTAGTTTCAATTGAGAATCCTTTTAATCAAAGAAAAGTAGAAAAACACTCAGTTGCCTGGATTTCAACATTTATTATTAAATGTAATAAAATTAAGTATAAAAAAATAACGGGATGGAAATTATAGAAGAGGCAATTAGATATCAGCTAAAAACTAGCAGACCTTTAAGGTCTCTTACAACTGTAATTTTCCTTGGTGGTAATGATGATTATAAGTGAATAATTATAAAAGTCTGCATTTATGGAGTACATAAATATATCTATCCTCATGCAAATAGTGATTTGCATGAATTAACTCATTTAACCCTAAAGCAGCTTCAAGAATAAAGTACTCTTATTATCCTCATTGCAAACTGAGGACAGAGAGAGGTCAAGTAGCTTGACCTTCAGGCTACTTAAAGGCACCCTGAGGATTTGAACTTCAGGAAGTAGGCTCTAGATCCTTAGCTCCAGCATTTGAAGGGTGCTCCTCATACCAGAAGCTTCAGAGTCACTGGGAAATAAAGAACAAATAAAGAACCTCAGGTCTCACCCAAACCTACTGGACCTGAATCTCTTGGGATGGAGCCCAGAGGTCTGTTTGAACCAGCTTTGCATGTGCTCCTAATGGACACTGTAGGAAGCACTTCTAGGTGACTTGCTATAACTTGTCTATACTGCCTCTCCCAAGTAGACGTCGTCTGTCTTTAGTGAAGAATCATCCTCTATCTTTTAAAGCCCAGACTAGTTTATTGACCACTAATTTGTTAATGATTAGATCATGCCAGACGCCTTGAAAATCTCTCTCTCACACACACACACCCTTTTTTTGTTGTTGTTGTTTGAACTTTTAAAGTTCTCTTCTCTCTGCGCATCTCCGCTGACATTTCTCCACATCTCCTTGCAAACAATTTGCCCTTCCCTGGGTCTTTAAAGAAACAGTGTAAGACAGGAAATCATCACTTCGACTCCCTTGCACTGCGGTTCTACTTGAAACTTATAGCAACTCCTTGTGACTTCTTTAATTTGATTTTTATAAAAACTGTAACAGGAAGGCAGGGTGTGGAGTGTTATTAACTCTGCTCTCTGCATGCAAATGAGGCTTAGGGAGAATCCTGTGCTCCCAGCTTGAGGATCTAGACAAGAGCTTCTCAGGGGAGCAGACAGTCCACGGCCATCTCTGCTGCAAATGTAACTCAGAGCAAATCTGAGGGAAAATATCAGAAATTTGAAGAGGAGCTATTCAGATGTCACTCTGATGTAATGGTATGGTTGCTAATTGTGGTTCTCCATAATTGTGGCTTCCAAACAGGTACACCAAGCAAAGGTGACATTTCACCAAGCCCACAGTCAAGGACCGTGAGACAAGACGGCTTAGAGTTAAAACAGGTCATTTTTGTTTGGGACACTCATATAATTATATGTGTACACATTGTCGTTTAAGTCAAGAAGTTCACAGAAAACAAGAATTCTCCTAGTTTGTTCACTGTGTAGGTCTGATCATTGTCATTAATATGAATGAATCCGAGCAGGCATTTATAAATTTTTGCATTTAAATAAATATACAAGTGGGAAAGAATGACAGAAAAGCAATCTATCCTGTTTGTGTTTTCATCTAAGAAGTTTGTTAAATAACTCTGTTGATTTGGACCATTTACCATGGGGCCATTCTCATTTGACAGCTGGTTGTAATTTACCTTAAGGTTGCTTAGATTTAAGATGTCCTCTTGCAAAGTTTTTTTCCTCCTGTTTTGCAAAATGAGAGAGAATAACTCTCATCCCCTTCCTCGGGCTTTGCTGTAGACCCAGAATAAGTCAACCTCATCAAGAACAAAGAAAATAACGCAGATTGGGAGCTAATTAGAATTGCTGTGCAGGAAAACACAGATTTAAGCAATCTTGAAAAATGTATCCTGAGGTTTTACTAAATGGCAGAGAATTTATAGCTTTAAACTATGAGGGGGTTGGAAGTGGCATGACTTGTTGGAAGGTATTAGGTTGCTGGCGGAGGTTAAGCTGTTCTGTAAGGAAGGGAATTTGAATAGAATCATGAATCCACAGCAGAAAGGATTCAGATTCACAGATTTCTCTAAAATGCCCCTTCAAATCTTTGCCACTAGGCTTCAGAATCTTCATCTTCCTTGCTCAAAAGCAAGAGAACATTTACATATTGAAACTACAATCCCTAGACATTGCCCAGTGACCTCACATTCCCATGAAAATCTTCGTTTTAGTCACCAGTACACTTTTTTCCTTTTTCTTCAAATAGAACTATATGCCAAATATTTATTCAGCACCTAACGATGTTCAACACTTAAATCCATCTTGACTTGCTAACGTCCTTCTCCTTTGTTAGTGAAAGTAAATTAAATTTATGTCACCTTTCTGTCTTCTACCTAATCAAATACAATGTCATACAAACTAATAAAAATGATGTCGGGTAATATGTATCGTGTGTCTGTAATTCAGAAATGGAAAACTTTGGACACTAATTAAACCGATTGAGGGATCCCTTCTGCTTCTGATGGGTGGTGTTCTCCTACAGCGCTGTATGAGCAGTCCTGCGAGGCCCACAAGCACCGAGGGAGTCCTTCTGGGCTTTACTATATCGATGCTGATGGCAGTGGCCCCCTGGGACCGTTTCTTGTGTACTGCAACATGACAGGTACGTTAATAACCTTCAGACCTGCATATCAACTGTTTATGCCCATGATCAGGATAGACCAGGGAGAGATTTGCTAGTTGGCAGCATTGTTAAAACATGCAACTTGATATATTGGCTAGTTTTATTGTCCATAAAACTTCCTTGTATTTCTGACTTACCTTGGTTGGGTTATAGGTGAAACTTAAGGTTCTGCTATGACTGCAACACTTGTCACAATTACATATTTTTCATATGCACCATGATGACAGATAAAGCTTTGATTCTGTGATTTACATATTTTTAAAATTTAGAACAAAAAAGAGAGTTTTAAAAGTACTAATAAGATATGTATGCATGTGTGTGTATCTATATCTTCAATAGCATGTGATTTTTATAATAAAAGAAATTTGATTTGTGTTAATATTATAAAACCACTTCTGGTTTAGATATTATTACAAATGAACACAGCTTGATTGTTGAAGGTTGCTGTAAAATGCCTCTTAGGTAATTAAATTTTTACAGAAATCTGCCCTAGCAAATTTCAGTGAGCACTCTGGAAAGAAGAAATGTGAAATCAATAGTTCTCATTTAGTGTGCAGAGAAAAGGTTGTGAAGTCCCGTCAAACTGGACAGTGACCAAATGGACCAGCAAACACCTAGAAAAGAAGGAAACAAACAAATGAAAGTACATAGAAATTAAAAATGCTTTAGTGAAGATTGCCAAAGAATGTTTAAAATGTGAATATTCCAAAAATTTAGAACCACGTGATCAGCAAAGCGCTGAAGATATAAAATACAGAAGTCCCACCAACAGAAACTCACCACCTCCCAAACTCCCTGGTTCCGACAATCATACTCACGCGAGAAGGGTCCTGCACCCAGAGCATCAGTCATGCAGCTTTCCCGGGATCCCTTGCTGTGGTCCAGCTTCTTCACAATGGGTTCTTGCAGTAATGTGGTCTTGGCAAATAGCAAAGGACTTAACCAAGGTCACCCTTGCAAGGATCTTGTCATTGTTTGAAGATGAGAAGAAGGAGGCTTGGTGAAGTTGGTAAGGGAAGCATCTAATGACAAAATCTAGTTAATGACAGAGGAATCACT